ATTGGGGGGGGGGGGAATTTGCAGGTCTGCCCTTGCAGAGGAGGGAGAGCTTATACCTGAAGGCAGGCCAGGGGAGGGGCTCTGCAACTTACCTGGCTGCTTCTTGCTCCTCGTGGCCCAACTGAGGGCTGCAGGGAGCAGGGGGCGGGGCTTGCTGCATGTGCCCGCCCCCTGGGCTCCTTACTGCCGGAGCTCCGCTCCTGTGCGCTCCCGCAGGAAATGACCCCTGGATCTAGGGCCCATTCTGCATCTCGCATTCGCTCCCACGCTGGGACAGAAATTCTCCTCTGCATTGCAGGCCGCTTCCACTTTGCTTGATTGTCGGATTTTACGGCAGTCTCCAGACTGCATGCCGGTTTCTCTTCCTTTGACCTCTTCCCATAGCATTGGCATTTACAGGCACCCTGCTGAGCCAATAGTGGATTCCGGACAGACAAAAGGAAGGACTAGTTCATTTGAGGGGATCCTGTGGAATTCACAGCCACATGACGTTAGAGACAGCTGGTGGGTCGGTTGGCTTTCATTTCATCAGATCTCAGAAGCTAAGCAGGGTCGGCCCTGGCTAGTATTGGGACAGGAGACCAGTGCCAGTGTTCCCTCTAAGATGAGTTAGTGTGAGCCAGCTCACAGTTTTTTAGCCTCTGGCTCACACCTTTTTGTCTCAGCTCAGGAAGGATGGCTCTAGAGCAGACTAACTTATGCAGCATCCAAATCACCTGCTCACAACTTTAATGCCAGTAGCTTACAAAGTAGAATTTTTGCTCACAGGGCTCTATAGCTTAGAGGGAACGTTGGAGACCACCAAGGAAATTTAGGGTTGCCACGCAGAGGCAGGCAACGGCAAACCTCTGAACGTCTCTCGCCTTGAAAACCCGACGGGGGTCACCAGAAATCAGCTGCGACTTGCCGGCACTTTCCACCGCCCAATAAAGCCGCAGTGGATAAATCCATAAGCAGAACCTCCATATTCAGAGGCAGTAAGCTGTGCTGGAGGGGGTCACGTGAGTGGGAGATCTTTGGCCTCGGTGCCCCTGTTAATAGGCTTTTTGCCGCATCCAGCTGGCCAGTGTGAGACATGGATACTGGACTCTAGGCGGACACTTGGGCCTGATCCAGCACATCTGCACTCGCTCTTACGCAGCGAAGAGAATGCCCCCCCCCCCCGGCCCCCGTTTCATCAATCGCCCCGGGGAAA